TAGTAGTAGTAGTAGTAGTAGTAGTAGTAGTAGTAGTAGTAGTAGTAGTAGTAGTAGTAGTAGTAGTAGTAGTAGTAGTAGTAGTAGTAGTAGTAGTAGTAGTAGTAGTAGAGAGAGAGAGAGAGAGAGAGAGAGAGAGAGAGAGAAGGAGAGAGAGAGATGAAAAAAATGGCAAAAGCCCCCCTGAGCTGCAAGTTCAAGTGCGGACGTGACGTCCCTGCGAACTTGAACGTCAGGAGCCTGGATGGACAGAGACATACAAAACATGGGCAGGGCAAGCTGGAGAGAGGGGGAGGAGGGAAGAGGAAGGCAACACCAATGGACACTCATCAGGGGCTGGACATGAAAAAGAGACCAGGACAAGCCAATGGACAGTGATCGCAGGGGGGAGCGGGGAGGGGGGAAGAGGGAGGGGGGTGCACTAGACACCAGGCGCACGCTGCTTCGAAGAGTAGGGGGGGTTGGGGTGGAGGGGAAAGGAGCCGGGCACGCCGTGCAGAAGTGGCCGCAGAGGAGTACAGTGGAGAAGGCAAACGCACGAGTGGCCAGGAGGGGCGAGGGAATAATAAATAAATAAATAAAAACAAGCGGTACACACACACACACACCCCCGCTGAAAAAAGAAGAGAGGATCGCCCAAGTGAAATGCGATGGGATGCTCCCAGGAGGGGGAGGCAAGGCAGGTATCTGGGAGCCCACCCAACAGGCAAAGCCAGGGAATTAAAAACTTTACACCACCACACGAGCAAAGCCCCGAGGCGCAGGGACAGTCCCTGGCAGGCAGCACAAAGGCAGAGAGTGGGCAAGGGGGTCGCACGAGAAAAGTTCTGCACTTGGAGCAGCGGGGGGAGAGGCGGCCAGGACCAGCCTCCTTCCTTTCAGCTTGGAGAGGGGAGCAAGGAGAAGAGTTTCAGAGTCCAGGAGAAAAGAGGCGGAGGGTGAGAAGCTGCAGGAGCAGAGAAGGCAAAGGGAAGGCGGTGGAACTTCATACCCCCCAGTCCAATAACTAAATAAATAAAAGCCAAGCCGGGCTCTGAGCTGTAACGAGCAGTGACTGGGTCTAATAAACCGAAAGAAACGGGAGCGCAGGAAGCAATGCGCGGGGCACAAAACACAGCTACGCTACTGACAAGAAGCAGGGCGACCCAAGCCGAGCTATGGTCAGAGGGGCGCAGAGAAGCGGCGGGAGATGGGACTGAGGATGCGGCAGCAGCGTGGGTTGTAACTTACCGGGGACACACACACATTCCCCCACGCCGGGCCCGGGGCGGGAGCGGGTTGCAATAAGGATAAGCGGGAGAGGAGGAAGAGAGCGTTTGTGGCAATTATTCCGCAGAACTGGTATAAAGCGCGTGCCGTGGCGAGCCCGAGCTCTGAGCGCACGCCCCAGCAGCCTCCCGCGAGGAGAACGCAGAGAGAGGGACAGAGAGAAAAGGTGCAAAGGAGGGAAGAAGTGGATCTAGCACAGGAAGGGGAAAGAAGAAGCTTGCTGTGACTGTAAGAAATATTTTAACACGCAAAACTGTAATAATGACGTTACCCAGGGAGAGCGGGGCGGGGAGGGAATGGAAATCTTTCAGTTTGTTCACAGAAGCAGCAGGGAATGCAAGTGGTCGGGGCTGCCGCTGAATTCTCAGCCGCTTCCGATCGGACGGCTCCTTTTGTGTGTGTGTGAATGTGTGATCAGTGCACGCGCTGGGTTATAAACACCCTTTGGGGAGCGTCTGTGGAGAAATTAGAGGAGACCTGTTGGAAACGAGACCCTGTCTCTTTAATGGAGAAACACACACACACACGCTGCTGTTGTCACAGGTCTGTTTCATTCTGGTGTGGGATACTTTCAGTTTCACGTCAATGGTACAGCAATAGCACCCCCTACAATCTGAAGTTTATTCTCAAACATCCCTTAAAGCCTCGACTTCCCCCAGCATCGCTGCTGCTCCCCCCGGCTGTCTAGCCCAGGCGAGGAGGGAGGGAAAGTGAGGCAGGTAGGAAGTGGGTGCCAGGCGGCTTCAAAGGGACTGATCAAGAGCTGCAGGTGAATCCATCTAACTACTTAGCGGTGATCTCTCTCCTGTCATGAAGCGCAATAGCTTCCCCCTCAAGCACTAGATCTGTTTTATTAATGCACTTTCCCCACCATTGTGTTCCTCAGCCAAGAGGTGTCGCTTATGCAGGTTAACCTGCTTTTGTTTTTTTAAACACACACACACACACACACACACACACACACACACACACACACACACACACTTTGCCACAGTTTTATGGTCCAGCTTCATTTGATAACTACCTACAGCGAGAGATTCAATTGCTAATCCTGCTTTCACGGGCTTGCTTCCCTGGGTAAAGTTTTAACCTTATTAAAATGAGTGTGTTTCTACAACGCGCAGTGGAGCGAGTGCTTCTGAACGGGAAAAGGAGAGGTTGATGTTCACCACTATGAGGGTGTGTGTGTCCCCCCCCCCCCATGTAAAAAAAATGAATCCCCAAAGCCTGTGAAGATGCGGGATTTATTTGCAGTAAGCCTCTGTAACCACGTACCTGACACGATTTCCTCTTTTTCATGGGCTCTTCAGAGCAGGTCAGCATCTGTCTTACGCCACTATTTTTGTCTTGCTCTTATTTAAACAGACTCCTTCGAGCTATAAATGAATCTCATTTCTCTGCTTTTTTTTGGGGGGGGGGGAGGCAGGCAGAAAGTAAATACGTATTCTGTATGAGGGTTTTTAAAAATAAAAATAATTTCAGATGACAATAGCAAACTGCCTCATTCTTTGGGTATCACACTGCGTTTCAGAGTTGGTACCTCTGTATCTAAACATACGTTCCTTTACAGAACGTATATACATAGATGTGTGTGTACTTGTGGATACATATGTGATTTGATTTATATATAATAGCGTGTATAAAGCTTTTCAAGGTGGCTGCAGTGTAAAAAGTAATGACTTTATTACCCCTGAAAGGTTCTGTGGTTCATACTTAACAGTCTTCTGAATTACAATTCATTACGCAGTTGTGCGCTCTCTGAAGCCAACCTAACATCCGAATACCTATCTGTGGTTATTTCCAATAAATAACCGGCAACATTTTATTGATTTTCTTTTTTAAATCATAGGAAATTAAGCACTTAGTTACATCTAGATCTGTTTTATTATTGCACTATGCTTTAGATTCCAGAGGTGACTTCCTAAACCACATCTTAAGACATACATTAAAAAGCCAATTTTACAGATGCTTTTGTGAGTGGCAGCTAGACGGTTTCCACCATTAGCATATACTTGATTTCAGCATCATAAAATCTTCGATTTAAATGGAAAGTCTTTCCCCTAAAACAATATTTCATCTTGTCTGGATTATAATTAATATTGGCATTTGATCACAATTGCGCTTATCTTTCTCTCTTTTCTCCCCATCACTTTGCATTGCCATGTGATTTCAGCAAGGTAACTAAACTCAAGAAAGAAAAGGAGTCAGGGGCCTTTTTTTAATATTATATCACCGCAGATTAACGATGCAGGCGGATTTTGGGGGATAGGAGGAGTGAAAGCGGTAGTTTAACTAGAACACGTGGGTACAACATAAGTATTACAATCCTTGATGTGACGCTTGATGGGTAATAAATTATGACAATGTTAAAAATATTTTCTGGCAGTCCAGTTAACTGCGTTTGGGGCTGTAAAACCTTTACTGATTCCATTTATGCCTAGTAATTATGGTCCATGGGCTCTCCCTAAACCCTTTGGTGTAATGTGTGTAAACTCTTAGCTAATAGACCTTTTTTGAACGCAAGGACTTTTCTCAGCACTTCCTGCAATATATATTCTGTCTCTGATGGCTGTATTTAATGGCCAAGTCCTGGTTTATGCTTTATAATGTGTTGACAAGTTTTCTAACAGACTTTCTGAAATAATGCACATATATTCAGGTCGGTTAGAAACTCCACAGTATTTTTAGAGTCGAGTAGATCTATATCCTAATGCACTGAGAGAGAGTGTAAATCATAGAGGATTTCATAGCCCTTTCAGTAGTTTTCTGTATGAAGTATGAGCAGCGTGGCCTCCAGACGTAACCTTTTAGAAAAAAAGACAGTGCTTTTATTTTATGGTGTAAAGTGCTTTTAGCTTCAGGGCTCTGAACGTGAATGTGGTCAACAAACAGCTCCTGCAAGGGATCTTAATACAGCCACAACTCTAGTGCTGGGGAATTGTCTGGTGATTGGGATTCAGGCTGGAAAGGGTTAAAGGTCCATCTCAATGGAAATGACAAGATTAAAATACACTAGGCACTGCCTGCCTTTAGAGCCAACACCTTTATTGACTTAAAATACATAAATAAACACATATAATCTGTTGCTGCCTATTGAATCTGGAGACCAGACTTTTCTGGTATCTGTAATCCCTTTTCAAAGGTGCATCACCACCATCTACATGTGACCTACTTACTCTGTGATCTGTACCTGGTCCTGAGACACTATTAAAAATCCAAAAACAAAACAACCCCCCTCTCCTCCCCCCACCACAAAATCCAATATGTCACAGTAACTTAAGGGACTCACACTTAAACCCTACCAAAGCAAAGCTGTTCACACTCAGAGTTTAAATGCCAAATGGACACAGGGGATCTAACCCCAAATAAAGTGTCTAACCCTATTTTAGGTGGGTTTGCCTCTGATAAAGACCCGAGGATCTCTCCAAAGAGGGTGGGGGGAGAAGTGTCTTTGGTAATGCTGTGTAGCTTGTCATGCCAATGAAGTTTCATTGAACTGAACTGAAACATTGAAATCCCACCCTTAATTCACCCCACTGACCGTGCCCATGTTTTTGCAGCAAATGTTAGTAAGGTCACCAACATACCCCCTAAACACAGAAACCTGGGTGAGGACATGAAAGGCAGTTTTACTCAGGTGGTCCTGGT